ACCTCCAAATCCCTCCTAACACAAATCCTCCAATCCCCATCCTGGAACAAGTTTACCCCCCCTAACATAAATCCTCTCTCCTCCCCAAATTCCTCCTCCCAGCACAAACTCTTCCCCTCTCCCAACATCCTCTTCCACCCCCAAATAACCCCCTCACAGCACCTCCTCTGCCATATCTGGCACCCAAGATTCCATTATAACCCCCATCCTCATCACTGGAGCCAACCCGGCAGTAGGCTGAAGCTGAATAGAAATCTGTGCCAGTTGCTCTTTCTGCCTGTTGTCACCTCCCTCTATGCTGCCACTGATCTGCTCCACACCCTCAGATGCATTTAACAGTTGTGCATTTTCTTGCATATAGTGGCTGCTACTGTGATCTAATAATTCAGCTATCTCCTGTGTGACAGGTGGTGGGGTAATGGCAGGAGTAGCTGAGGATGCAGAACAGGGTGCTTTGGCAGCTGCTGATGACTTCCAGCTACTCTGCGCCTGGGAGACAGAGGAGGAGGAGGAGGAGGATAAAGGCTTGCTTAGCCACTCCACCACCTCCTCTATATAAAGCAGAGCACTGCAAAAAAAAAGGCACATGTGACTTACCTCCAGATGCTGTACCCTGGGCACTGCCTTGGTCTGTGGATATGGATGCTACTCACCCATTTATAGCTGTACAGAAGATGCCTCACCCTATGAGCAACCAACACATGATTTTGTAAACATGGGGCTTAGTCCCTTCTTTAATTAGCAGCTATGGCAAGAGTAGATCTCTCAGCATGTGAGGATAAGGTGCTTAAGTGCCCTAGAAGCTCATACAGTTGAGGACTAATCTGCACCATAACAATATGTGGTGCTCCGCTGGATACAATGGGAAGCTTTGCTGCTGCTGCTCCCATAAAAGACCCTAGCAAAATTAAACACAAATATAATAGAGACAAAAGATGTAAAAAGTAAACTAAAGTAAAAGAAAAAAACTGCAGCCCTAAAACACTAAAAGCACTAAACTCGTTTTTAATGCAGAAAAAAAAGGAAATTTAAAATACAAATAAAGGGAATAAAAACAAGCACTCCCAAAGAAAAATAAAAAAGGTGAACAGCAGCACCACAGCAATAGAATTTGTTGCTGACACGAAGAGGTGAGTTTATACTCCATTCTCCAAAGTGCACAGCCAACTCCTCATTGCAATTATTATTATTATACAGTATTTATAAAGCGCCAATAGTTTGCTCAGCGCTGTACATTACAATGGGAGACAATACATGAGACAGTACAATAACAATACAATGCGATACATGAGGGGTTCGAGGGCCCTGCTCCTTGGAGCTTACAATCTAGGAGGGAGGGGATAGTGGTACAGGAGGAAAAGCTGTGGGGGATGGAGTGGTAGGAAGAGTGGAGGAGATCGGCAATTAGCAGGGGGCAGGGTAGGCTTCCCTGAAGAGATGGGTTTTCAGGGTGCGCCTAAGGAGAGAAGGGTAGGTGATAGTCTGATGGATTGTGGTAGGGAGTTCCAAGGGAGTTCCAGAGGATGGGCGATGCCCTGGAGAAGTCCTGGAGGCGGGCATGGGAGGAGGAGACCAGGGAACTAGAAAGAAGGTCTTGGGAGGAGCGGAGAGTGCGTTTTGGGTGGTATTTGGATATCAGGTCAGTGATGTAGTTTGGGGCAGTATTATGGACAGCTTTGTACGTCAGTGTAAGCGTTTTGAATTTGATCTGTTGGGCAATCGGAAGCCAGTGGAGGGATTGGCAGAGGGGGGTGGCGGAAACGGAGTGGTTAGTAAGGTGGATGAGCCTGGCTGCCATATTCAGGATCGACTGAAGCGGGGATAGTCTGCGGTGAGGGAGGCCAGTGAGGAGGGAGTTGCAGTAATCGAGTTGTGATATGATGAGGGAGTGGTTGAGTTGTTTAGTGGTTTCTGTGGCTAGGAATGGGTGTATTTTGGCGATGTTGCGGAGTGGAGTCTGCATGAGTTTGTTAGCGATTGGACTTGGGGCAGGAAGGATAGATTGGAGTCAAGAATGACACCAAGTACTCTGGCTTGCGGGGTGGGCCTGATGTGGCATTGTTGGACTTGATGGAAAAGTCAGTGGGGGGTGGTGTGTGCGGGCTGGGGGGAAAACTAGGAGCTCAGTTTTGGAGAGGTTCAGTTTGTGGAAGTGGAGCGACATCCAATCTGATATGTCGTTTAGCAGGCTAGTGATTTGGGCGGAGACTGAGAGGGGGTGAGGCGAGGGGTCGAGAGATAGATAGATACTGTCAGCTGTCCCTCACACTAAACTGCCACATACTGACAAAGGGCTGCTGGGTTTGCAGCATTGTATAGTGTGTAGGCTGCAACTTTGGACAAAACCATCATTGGCCAAGTCTTGCACCTGACCATGTCAGGCCAATCACAGTTGTTTGCAATGCTCAACTCATCTCTACTCTTTAGGAATACTCTATCATATAAATTACAGAGGTGGTGAGGGACTCAGATAGTACATTTTTACTTCTTGAAGGCCCTCTGGATCTTCCAGTTCTATGGATAAATTAATACTTGCCTAATACTAACTAAGTTGTTTTAGCTAATGTTCTTTCTCAACTAGAGAAGTAACAGAATCAAAAACTTCTAGTGGCAGTCAGGGGATTTTTAATTTTTTCATGCAACCAAACCTGGACTGGACTCTTCCTCAACACCAGAATTTATTCAAAGATCCATGGCCCTCAATAAGGCAACAATTGAGATTGGTGGACTCAGATAACTGGGGGAGGCAGGTACATTTGCAAGCTCAGTCTTATACTTTCCATTCTTCAGTGCCTAATTCTTCCTCATGGATTGATTATTCCCTTCTAAGTTCCTTGTTGAGTACTAGCCTGTCAGATTTCCATATTGATCCCTGCATTTGGTCAGACCACAAAATCCTCCAAACTGATACTTCCTCTCCTGTTACTAAATGAAAGCTGTATCTCTAAAGTCTAAACAATGCTTTGCTTTCCCCTGCAAATGTACAGCATTTAATACAGGATAAATGAATTGAGTTATTTCATCAAAGATAAGCCACAGGTCTTCAGTGAGTCACTTTGCTATGCCCATAAAGCTTAGGCTAACCCTACATTGTACCATTTTCTTGTACTGTTTTTTTTAGATTTACCTTCAACTATGTAGTGCAATGGTCTGCCTGATTGGATACAAATTAAAGGTGTTGTTTTGCTTTGACCTCATATTATATGGTGTTTGGTAAATATAAAGGAAAGTTGTACATGAGGAGAGAGATTACCACCCTCTGTAGCTACTTCAAACAACAAGAACACTAATTCTAACATCAGAAATGTGTCTGATTACACTGATGCTTCCATTCCTTCCCCATCAACCATTACTATATACTGCTGATGAGAAAAGGTGTTTAGCAGTTTATATTTACTAAAATAATCCCACTTCCATGTTCTGTGTACTGTGGAAGACCAGATATAGTGATTGGAGGGTCCTGGGTTTAGTAACACTTTAACCACTTGCCCTCTGGAAGATTTACCCTTGCCTGACCAGGCCTTTTTTGCTATTCAGTGCTGCGCTTTTTCAACTGGTAATTGCGCGGTCATGCAATGCTGTGTCCAAACAACATTTGTGTCCTTTCTTCCCACAAATAGAGCTTTTTTTAGTTGTATTTGATCACCTTTGAGGTTTGTTTGCGCTATAAACAAAGAAGACAAAGAAAATATTGAAAAAAAAACTATTTACTAATTTCTGTTATAGAAAATATCAAATAAACTCAAATTTCATCATAAATTTAGGCCAGAATGTATTTTGCAACATGTATTTGGTAAAAAATTCCACTAACTGCATATTAATTGGTTTATATGAAAGTTATAGCGTATACAAGCTATGGCATATATACTGGAATTTACACCATTTCTTGCTATACGGTGCTGCGCTCAGGGGTGTATTTGCCGCAAGGCAAACAAGGCTTTTGCCTAGGGCGGCACTTTTCAGGGGGGCATCTGAGCCTTCCCCCCCTTCCCTTTCCCACAGAAGGGACACTTCCATGGGAAAGGGACAAGGGCTGCTGTGTCTTACCTGTGTCCGCAACTCTGTGCCCACTTCAATCCGGTCCACGAGGCGCTGCAGGAGGAGGGGTGCAGAGGGTGTCTGTCCGGTGTCTTCATCTTCCTGGATCTTAATCGTGATGTGGGCGGGATGGGCCCTTCCCATTTGGTCACACCCCCAGGATCACTGGGCAGCCTATGGAAGCCTGTCCCTCTGTAAGCTCCACCTCCTTGCCAGTGATTGGCCGCTGGATCTGTAGCTCGGGAAAGGCACACAGGCGGCCAATCACCAGCGATGAGGTGGAGCTTGGAGAGGAGGTGCCGAGCAGCAGCACGAAGATCAAAGAAGATCAAGTGAGGGACCATCCAGAGCCGGTGAAGAGGAGAGCAGCTAGAGAAGGAAGACAGCTGATAGGTAAGGTAAGCATGGCCAGGATCTGAGCAGAGCAGATGGTGCTGCTGCAGCCGGGTATGCTGGCTGTGGATGGGAGAGGGAGGGAGCCTGGGCTGGAGCAGGGGTCAGCAAGGTAAGTAGCATTGGTGTCAGTGGGAGGAATAGTGCCCCATCATTAGTGTCAGTGTGAGAGGAATAGTGCCCCATCATTGGTGTCACTGACACCAATAAAGGGGCACTTTTCCTCCCACTGACACTAATGATGGGGCACTATGCCTCCCACTGACACCAATGTTGGGGCACTATTCCTCCACTGACACACCAATGATGAGGCACTATTCCTCCCACTGACACCAATGATGGGGCACTATTCCTCCCACTGACACCAATGATGGGGCACTATTCCTCCCACTGACACCAATAATGAGGCACTATTCCTCCCACTGACACCAATGATGGGGCACTATTCCTCCCACTGACACTAATGATGGGGCACTATTCCTCCCAATGACACCAATGATGGGGCACTATTCCTCCCACTGACATTAATGATAGGGCAATATTCCTCCCACACTGACACTAATGATGGGGCACCATCGTTGGTGTCAGTGGGAGGAATAGTGCCCCATCATTAGTGTCAGTGTGGGAGGAATAGTGCCCAATCATTTGTGTCACTGGAAGGAATAGTGCCCCACCGTTGTTGTCAGTGGGAGGAATAGTGCCCCATCATTGGTGTCAGTGGGAGGAATAGTGCCCCATCATTGGTGTCAGTGGGAGAAATAGTGCCCCATCGTTGGTGTTAGTGGGAGGAATAGTGCCCCATCACTGTTGTCAGTGGGAGGAATAGAGCCCCACTGTTGTTGTCAGTGGGAGGAATAGCACCCCACTGTTGTCGTCAGTGGGTGGAGCTCTAATAGGAAGATGTGGAGCCTAAAAAGGAAGGGTGGGGTTTACAGATGAAGGGGTGGATCTTAAACAGGAAGAGGTGGGGCAAATTTAGATTTGGGGTGTGCTCAATTTTAGTCTTCCCTAGGCAGCACAAAACAAAAATACACCACTGGCTGCGTTTAACTGAAAATTGCGCAGTCATGCAATGCTGTACAATAAATTAAATTTATGTCATTTTTTCCCCCAAAAGAGCTTTCTTTTGGTGGTAGTTGATCACCTGTGGTTTTTTTAATTTTTTTCTTTCTAATATCTTTTTTGCGCTATGAACAAAAAAAGACCGAAAGTTTTGAATCCTCCCCCCAGATATTTTCTAATTTCTGTTATAAATAATGTCCAATAAAATCTAATTTGTCATATATTTTTAGGCCAAAAAGCGCATTCTGCTACATGTCTTTGGTAAAAAAAGGATATATTATTTGATTTATGCGAATGTTAAAGTGTCTACAAACTATGGCATAGATACTGGAATTTACACAGCTTTTACTTTCTGACTGCCTATCACATTTCTTGAGATTCTAAAATGCCTTCACCCCAAATGACCCCTTTTCGGAAAGTAGATGCATATTGCTCACACATGCCTTGGGTATATTAGAAATTTCTACACCCAAAAATATATTCTGCTACTTCTCCTGAGTATGGGGATACCACATTTGTGAGATCTCTAGGCAGCCTTGACTCATTACAGGAGCCTGAAATCCAGTGACCCCTGTGAAAGCCTGATGGTGGGGTAAATTCTCATTTCACTTCCTCAGCAGTTTCAGAGGCTCTGAAATAATTCCAGTGATAGCACCCCCTCCCCCCCCCAATTACCTATTTTTGGAAAGTATACACCCTAGGGACTATTTGCTGAGAGGCATGTTGAAAACAATGGAATATTTTATTTTTTACCACCTCCAAAGTTTTGGAAAATGACAAAAAAAAAAATATTTTTTTTTTGTACACAAAGTTGTCCCTTAAATGAATATAATGCTCACACATGCCGTGGGATATATGTAGAATTACACCCCAAATATATTGTGCTCTTCTCGCATTGATTATGGGGATACACATGTGTGCTGTTTTGGGAGAATAGTCACATACAGAGCCACAAGGAAAGCCCGAAATCCAATGACCCCCTTGAAAGTCTGAAGGTGCGTAACTTCCTTACTTCACTTCCTCTCTACCAATCACAGTTTTTTGGAGGCCCTGAAATGCCAGGATAGCACGAACCACCCCCCACCCCCCCCCCCCCCAAATAACCCCTTTTTTGGAAAGTAGACACGACACCAAGGAATTTAATATAAGAGGCATGGTGAGTATTTTGCAGATCTCATTTTTCTCACAAGGTTTTGAAAAAAAAAACATTTTTCTTTCTCCATTTTCCAAAAACTTGTGGCAACAAACGAGATCTGCAAAATGCTCACCAGGCCTTAGATCAAATTCCTTTGGTTGGAGTGTTCTACTTTCCATAAAAGAATGGGATCATTTGGGGGGGATGAGGGGAGGATTATGGTATTTCAGGGCCTCTGTAGAACAGTGGCAGGTAATCAGGAAGTGTAAATGTGGAAATATAAGCCCTTTAAAAGCTGAAGGAGCTTATTGGGTTTTGAGGTCCTTAGTCTGTAGCCGGCTAGACTGCCAAAAAGTCCCTCATGATATCCCCCATTACTCGGGAGAAGTAGCAGAATGAATTTTGGGGTGTAATTCCAAATATACCCATGGCATGTGTAAGCACTATATCATTTAAATGACAATTTTATGTAAAAAATAAAACAAAACAATTTTTTGTCATTTTTCAAACATTTGTGGCAAAAAAATAAAAAATTCTTTTGACACAACAATGCCTCTCAGCAAATAGTTTAGGGTATTTACTTTCCAAAAAGGGGTCATTTGGGTTGGGGGGGGGGTGTAATATTGGCATTTTAAATCCAGCATTAGAAGCTTATAAACACACATCATTCCACTTTTCTAATCACTTGGAGACCAAGCATTTTCTGACACTTTTTGTTTGCATGAAAAAAATCTGTAATTTTTTTCGCTTGAAAATTACTTTGAGACCCAAACATTACATATATTTTTCAAAGCAGACGCCCTAGAGATTAAATGATTGTTGTTGGCAATTCCTTTATGCCGGTACACAGTACTCGTGCAGCGATTTTTCAATAGCTAATTTTTTTAAGAAAATATACTTTTGTGAATTTTAATGCACAAAAACACAATAATACTGGCCAACTGTTTGGTAAAATATAAAAGAAGATTTTTATGCCAAGTAAATAGATACCAAACATGAGATGCTTTAAAACTGCGGCACGCCCCGTGCAGCGGCGACAAGGCTACTTACAATGTTATTATCCATAGGCGAACGCTTTAAAAGCCTTTACATGCTACCAACTTTAGATTTACACAGAAGTTCTAGTGCTAGAATTACTGCACTCAAAATGATGTTTCATGGCAATAATCTCACATGCATCCACTTTGTCCAGTTGCTTTGTAAAGCACAAAAGCATTGTACAGAGCCAACTGAAACAAACAGACACTTTTTTGTAAACAGAAAAACATTTTTGTTACCAGCGTCTGGCTTTATGGGGATACTAAGTACGGCTTCCATCATCTGGTCGTTGAAGTCCACCCTCTCCCATGTTTAAGGTTATAGTCGTGGACACAGGAGGGGGCTTTTCAACAACACCAGCTGCCATGGATGGTCGTCCGTGTCTGAATAGAAGATAAAGACGAAAAAATCCTGTTTGTCCTTCCACTTCACTGTGACCAATTCATTATTTTTTCAAGCAGGCTTTCTCCCTATTTCTAAGTTGGGTATTTACAAGCCATTGGGGGAAACCCCAGTGATTAGGTCACATGGCGCCACATGCGCCAATTCCAAGATTGTACAAATGTCTAAATAGTGGCAGCTTGAATAAAAATTGTTCCCGTATAAGTTGTACCCCATGTGAAAAAAGGGTGACATCAAGTCCCAAACTATCTTGCCACTGCTTCCCATGTAGTCTGGGCATCCAGGGGGCTTCACATGACTATTCTTTTCCCTCGTAAACTGGTAAATTACATGGATATGTCTGTTGCCCTCTCACAGGTCTTACACATATCTGGCACAGTTGCTGGGGAGAAATTGTTTGAATGCAAGGCGGTCAGAAAAATTAATGAGGGACTCAGTAATGCAGATGTTTTTGCTGGGGATAATACACATCTGCAAATTTCTGGTTAAGGTGATTTACGAGGGGCTGAATTTTGTGGAGCCTATCATATTTAGGGTCACCCTGAGGACAACAGAGTATATTGTCCTTGAAACGCATAAATCTATATTCTCATATTTATGCCTGGCCATGGCAGCAGAGAACATGGGCATATGATGAATCAGGTCTGTGAACCAATACAATCGCAACTCATTCTTTTTAGTAATGCCCATATTGAGGGTTAGGCCCAAAAAAACTTTAATTCGGAAACAGTAATGGGTTTTCCATGCAAATGGTCTGGCAAGGTTTGAATCTGGGCTGGCGGCATTCATTACATTTTTGTGCATATAAATTGCTTTGATCCACAATCAATCCATACAGTTCTTCTGTGAAAAACAGCTCCAAAAAAAATCAAGGGGAGTAGTTAAATTTGCTGTTTCCACCTGAATTCCGGGTTGGGCAATGAATGGGGGAAGTACGGGTGCTGCAGAATTCATGGGCTCCAAAGGATTTCCGAACAGACTTTGCAAGCACATACCGGAAGGACAAGGGGGAACATGTGTGCTCTACCCCAGCCTGTTTTCAAATTCTTGCTGGCTGCGGTGACACACATGCCTTGGGTGCTGCTTGTATCGCACTTATGGGACTCGCCACATCACCAAGTGATACTGTAGCTGGGGGAGAAGGGGGAGGGGGGCTAAGCGTATTGGCTAAACGCAGGTGATGGCAGGTGTCAAAGGCTGTGATCCCGCTACACTGCATTTTTGGGGACACTATACTAATGTGAATGCTGGTATAGTTCTGATCTGATCAAAGATATTGGGGGTGGTGGGCAATCTGACGCTCACTGGGAGGGACGCTAACTGACCCCTAATGCTATCTGAAGTCGCCCCAGCATGACACTAATACAGTGATCAGAAGAAAAATATGGACATTATAATAATGACACTGGTGACAGAGCAATGAAGGGTTTAACTGCGGGGTGTGGCGATCAGGGGGTTTAAATATGATCTAGCTGTGCTTTTACAGTGAAAGTATGCTGTTTTTGTTCACGTTGATCAGCTTTCTTCTCTCTCTGGAACAGAATGTGCTCCAGGGAGAAAAGATTGCATCAGACCTCTGATTCGGTAAAGCAGATCAGCTATATATATATATAAACAGTCTGCCCTGTAGCAGAAAAACTGCTATAGGGTGGGGGGGGAACTGGTTAAACTGTCAAAAACACCATACCCTGATGGATATACAGCTTTGTATTATAAGAAATCTGCCCCCCTTATCCACTCTCTGCCTTAAGGATCTATACAATGAAATGATGAAAAATTCATAGGGGCAGACAAGTTTTAACAGGCACATATTGCAAATGGCCTCTATTCTCACATGCAACTTATGACCCATATTGGTCTTTAAAGTGTTACTAAACCCAGGACCCTGCATTCACAATATCTGGTCTCCTACAGTACACAGAACATGGAAATGCAATTATTTTAGTAAATATAACCTGCTAAATACCTTTTCTCATCAGAAATTAGAGCAGTCTTGTGATGTCAGCTGAGCACCGGTTTAAAGCTTGTAGGAGGAGTTTACTTTCTGCTCTAGGAGGATGCAAAACATCTGACCCTCTATCTAGACAGTGCTGATTGGCCCTGTGCTGATCACATGCACTCTCCCAAAAGAAAAAAAAAACAAAACACCTCTCTAGCAATACACACTAAACTGAGCATGTGCAAAAGGACTATGGT